AAAAAAAAAAAAAAAAAAAACCAAATGTGTGGTAATATAAATCATAGGGAAGTGGTACAGTCCCGATACATTATCATCTCGTCGGGTGTTTTAACCGTTTGATCATCTATTTTATTTAACTACATGTGAATCCAACGGTTAAAACACCCGATGGGATGGTATCATAACGGGACCATAGCATTTTCCTAAGTCATATCATATGAATATTAAATGATATAGCATGAATTGTACTAGAGAGGAAGAGAACAAATAAGAAGAGGGAAATGTGTACACAAAATAATAATGTAGGTAATGTACACAAATTAATAATTTACAACAAAATGGACTTTATCCAAAGTCTTACTTGTATTGTTTTGCTCTATCTATCACATTTTGGGGGAAAAGAGAAAAAGAAATCATGATGAATGATATCCTATCCATCATTTTTGAGTTATTTTTACAATTATACAAGAAAATTGGAGTTGTTAGCAAATAAGGTAAAGTTAAGGGTGGGCTTTTCGTAAATACTGCTAGAGAACCATGTGCTCGTGTCATCTGTTTAACTGCTTTTCTGATGGAAGTATTGTTACTTGGTGATGGCATTAATCTTTTCCAAGGAGTAGAGGAGAAAACTATCAAATGAAAAATTATTACAATCTTTATAGATTTCTATGTCAATATTAGTTATATCAATTGTATAGTTGAAGGAGAATTCTGACTTATTCGGAGGCAACAACGCGCTAATTATGAAGTTGGGCTGGGGGATCTTAACAAAACGGGATGATTTATGGGCAAGAGTTTTGATTGCCAAATATGCCATTACCCCCTCGTCGGATCTAGAGGCGCCTCGCTGCAAACGGGGGTCAGTTATCATTCGAGCGATAGGTAAGGTGTGGCCAGACATGATGAAACAGGTTCGTTGGAACTTGGGTAATGGCGCGACGGTTCTTTTCTGGACTGACCCCTGGTTATGCTCGTTGGGCCCTCTATTACAGTATGCAAATCAAAGACCGGATGCTAATAGCCTCAAATCCACAGTAGCAGAGTACGTTGACGATCACGGAGAATGGAGGTGGGCAGCTTTTCACGGTTTACTGCCGTCATCTATCGTTCTGAGGATAGCAGGTATGCTCCCTCCACGTGCTTCCGCTGGAGAGGACCGCATAGTTTGGGGCCCGTCCCATGATGGCAATTTCTCGACGAAATCAGCGTACCAGGCTCTTAACCCACACGGGCGATCTCCGGACAGTTTGTTGTGGAAACTAGTGTGGCGCATCGCAGCGCCGCAAAGAGTGCGTACCTTCTTATGGCTCGCTGTTAAGGAACGGCTATTAACAAACGCCGAACGAGTAAGGAGACATATCTCGAGCTCGGAGTTGTGCGAGGACTGTGGCGTAGCAGAGACGGTAATTCATGCTCTGAGGGACTGTCCCGGGACTGCGCGCCTCTGGTCTTGCTTAATTCCGGCAGGGGAGCTCACAGATTTCTTCACAACCCCTTTTCGAGAATGGATGCACAGTAATATTTCGACAGGGCGAGTTGGACCGTTTCCGGACTGGAGTAGTTTGTTTGCTATTACGGTTTGGAATAACTGGAAATGGAGAAATGACCGAGTGTTTAATTCTCGGGTGAAATCTTGTGAAAGCCGACGGCTTGAGGTCCTCTCCATGGCGGAGTCGTACGCAAGAGCATGTGCAGCTTTCAGAAAAGTCGGAGCTGATAGATATGAGGTACGCATGATTCATTGGATGCCACCGGATCCGGGCTTGGTCAAAGTCAATACTGATGGAACGTTTAACAACGGTACGGGCCTAAGCAGTGCGGGAGGTATCATGAGAGACGAGCGAGGTAAATGGATGGAGGGATTTAGTATGAATATCGGCTACAATACCATTACAGGAGCCGAGCTTTGGGGGGTGTTTCAAGGTCTTCAGATGGCTTGGGATCGAGGGGCCCGTAAAGTTGTAGTGGAAACCGATAGCCAATGCGTGACCAACATGCTCACTGGAACGGGCCAGAACTTCGGGGTGCATGATGGATTAGTTCGTGCGGTTAGAGAAGTGGTCCAAAGGGACTGGCAGGTCCGTATCCAACATGTGCACCGTGAGGCGAACTATGCAACAGATTATTTGGCCGGGATCGCGGAGACAACCCCGTTGGGGGTTCATCGGTTTTCGTCACCCCCCCCGGGGGTTGGAGCCTGGATTGATCATGACTCGAGAGGAGTGTCTTATCCTCGTCGAGTATTTGCTAGTGTTTAGGACTTAGGCCTCCTTCTTTTGCACCAAAAAAAAAAAA